TGTATTATAAAAACAGTCTGGGAGCAACACTAATGCAAAACAAACAGAGTACACATCATACTCACGTCTGCTGGGAGAGCAGGCTGGTGAGACAGACCCAGGACAGCAGTAATTCAGATGAAGACTTCAACCCACACTTCTGTTCACAGTTTCAATGGGACCTAAATGGAATTTTATTCATTGGCTGTTATTGGATTTAACAAGTACTACCTTGGAGCAGTGATAAATCATCCATTTTCCCAAACCAAAAGCATTTCATTTCTGCATTTCTTCTTGTAGCCAATAACTATTAGCTCTATGCCTGAATAAAACACCTAAAACTGGGCAACAGTACAAGGAGTAGGATCACTCTGGCTACCCATGACTTCACCTGTCTCTGGGACAGCAGAGGATCAGCTCAGATCAATATAAACATTGACCTGAAACAGGAGGCACCCTTCATACCCACTGATCGATCAGTCTTTCCATTGCTCAACAGCTGCAATACCCCTTAGGAATCATTTAATCATTTATCCTGAAATGCCTGATTTTGTTAGTTTGCCGCATCTGAAAACTCACTCCATATTTTCTTTCTCCAAATCTGTACACTTGCAAACTCCGGCCAGCATTCTGAACTGTTACTATTTAAAGGGGAACTGCAATGCTATTTTTTTACTTCAGGGTTAGAAAGAATCAGCACTGATGTGTGCATTTCAAAGTGCAATAACAGTAAAATGAGTAAACCTCAGGTTTACATCACAAAATGTAAAGACGCAGTGTCTGGAGGAAATGTCCAGGTATGCGCAGCGCCATGTTCTGTAGTTCAGAACGTCCAGTGCCGTCTGTGGCCCCATCACACTGTAAACAAGCAGGTGAATTCAGCTCTTTTAGTCCAATAGATATATTGCTCTCAACTTGCAGACGGTTGTACTTGTTAACTCTGCCTGCAGATCACGTCGGAACATTTCTGCGGTGAAATATCTGCTGCACAACCTGTGTTTATAGGCCTGTACATCCCTAAACTATTTAATACCGAGAAAAGTGAGCAGGAACGACACACTGACTGGAGAGCACTGAACACTGCCAATCTGCACACTGAAGAGCACTGCACACTGTCAATCTGCACACTGACTGGAGAGCACTGAACACTGTCAATCTACACACTGTCTGAAGAGCACTGCACACTGTCAATCTGCACACTGTCGAAAGAGCACTGCACACTGTCAATCTGCACACTGACTGGAGAGCACTGCACACTGTCAATCTGCACACTGTCTGAAGAGCACTGAACACTGTCAATCTGCACACTGACTGAAGAGAACTGAACACTGTCAATCTGCACACTGACTGAAGAGAACTGAACACTGTGAGTCTGGACACTGACAAGCAGCTTTAACAGCAACATTTGTTTATTTTTTTACTGTATTTTTAAAATAGTACATCAATAAATATTAAATCTTTTAATTAAAGAAGAGAATCTATTTTGTCTTAGTTGTGCACAGACGAACCCCCCAGGATGATCACGGAGTCACTTCCTCTTTTCCCTGTCCCCAGACCGGCCTGAGGCTGTGTGAACACAGCGCCTCCAACAGGCGGACACAGACACCCCTTCCCAGCCGACGGCCCCCTCTGGCCGGGGATCAGGGAGAGGAGCTCCTGCTTTTTAACCAGCATGACACTGAAGCTCCCTGGTCCTAGTGTCCTGTCACACGGTGCCTGGTCACCAGGAAGTGTAGCAGGAGTGTGTGAGGGGTCCCGTCTGCTTCGGGCAGCGCTACACTCTGCGATACAGCGGGCACTGCTCCCCCTTGTGGGCACAGAGCCTCACTGCGTCTTCCTCAGGGGTCTGGGACAAGAGCCCATGCTCTGAGTATTTCACCTGCCCTGAGACCACACAACAGCAATGTGTAGACTTAACCTTCACTTGAATGATATTGATGCTTAATTACCTTGCAGGGCTTTGATAATACAACTGCCCTCTGTCAAGGGGAAAATCAGATGGAGTTTTTTCCATCAGATGTTCTCTTTAAAAGATGCAGCTTGTCTTTAGAATGGTAATTTGCACAGGCTCCCAGCCCCGCACACGATGCGAAGGAACTGTTACTGTGTGTAAAAGAACTGTCCACAGCTCATGACAGGCCCTGCCAATTAACCCGAACATGTATAAAAACACGATCATGACGGAATTTAAATTAGAATGGCTGCAATCGATGGGTTCAAATAGAATTGAAAGATGGATTTGAGATGCTAATTAGAAACCCATTCAGACCCTCAAACTGGACTGTTGCATCACATGGAGACTAGATCCCTGGACTGCTGCAGCCCAGCGGTGCAGATAATAATAATAATAATAATAAACTTTATTTTATATAGCGCCTTTAAAGGTGGCTTCTCAAAGCGCTTTACAGGATGACAACAGCAATAAATAAGAAGACTACAACAATAAATAAGAAGATTTCACAAGAAAGGACACAATTATAATTACAACAATACAACAATAACAATAGAGGAGACCATGGAAGGTGGTATTAAGAGCAGAGGGGTGAAGAATGGAACAGTTCAGTAAAGGCTTTTCTGAAGAAGAAGGTTTGGAGTCTGGATTTGAAGGAGTTTAGAGAAGGTGACTCTCTGATATCCTTGGGCAGAGAGTTCCAGAGCTTGGAGGCATAACAAGAGAAGGCCCTGTCACCCATACAATGTAGACGGGCATGGGGGACAGTAAGGAGAGCAGAGTTAGAAGAGCGGAGGTTGCGAGGTGGGGAGCAGGGCGATAATAGTTCAGACAGGTACTCAGGTGCCAAGCCATGCAGAGCCTTATAGGTGAGCATGAGGATTTTAAAGTCCACATGGAATTTGACCGGAAGCCAGTGCAGGGACTCCAGGATAGGAGTAATGTGAACATGTGAACGCAGCCCCCCTCTCTCCCGCTGGGAACACCGGCGTGGCGTGAGAGCACCGGAGACGGGATTCTGGGGCCATCCTCCCCTCTCCCCCGTGCGCGCCATGGCCAAGTGTGGCAGCGTGGCGAGTGTGTGTCGTGTGTGTGGTGGTGTGGCGAGTGTGTGTCATGTGTGTGGCAG